AAAGAACTATTAACAAATCCTGAAAGAGAGAATGTGACAAGTGGGTGTGTCAGGAGGGGTCTGATTTGTCTGAGCAATAACAATTTTATAGTGAGTAATTTACATTCTATTTCATAGTTATTGGAGGGGTGGTTGATAAAATTGGGATGATGACATGCTAAAAGAAAATGTGTCACATTAGGGGAAATTCAGGACTTTTTAAAATATTGCCTTATAGAATTAAGACCTTAAAACTTATATATTACTATAATATGGATTATTAGCTAAGATTTTATGCTATTCTAATTGGTATAACATAAACAAAAAGTAGTTTAATAAAATTTTGAATGTAAGAATGTGTCATGTGCAGTAAAGGATACCCATGGCAATAGGGTTAAGCTAAACAGCTGATAATCCTATACTTTGAATTTTAGTTAAATCTAATTATTATATAAATTAAACTGTTACATTTACTAGTGTTTTGACAAATCATTTTATTATTAGTATTTCATAGTTAAAAACTTAAAAAAAACAATACTTACCTATCAACAGAAATTCTGAATCTCTGGATAATTGAAGAACTGTATTTAATAAGTTCAAAATTAAATCTTTTCTCTGGCCATTCCATTCTAAGATACAGTTGTTCAATAACTGACAAAGACAATATACAAGAGGAGCAAAGTTTACATTTTTCATTGATGAATAGACTGATGTATTGACTTGGTTATTTTGGTCACAAATCACCTGGAGAAAAAAAAAGTATACAGACTACAGGTACTTCTGCAGAGTCCCCAAAAGTGTTCTGTTTCAAGAGTAAATACAACTAAAATTAAAAGTAACAAATATTTTTATTTCTTGCTTTTGAAGTTGATATGTCATGCTGTGTTGTTGCCTACAGTGTATAATTCTTCTTGTGATTTGTGGCATGTGCACATTTTACTAACATCATGACATTACAAACTGCAACATTAAGTGTACTTTATGTGACATAATGTTAGTGTATACTGATTGACTGACAAAGACAACACGAAAGTTACTGTATAGTGGTGCGAGTGGTTAAAACAGGTGACCCCTCCAGGCAGTCTTTGGAAAAATATCTAACTGCTTATAAACTGTCTGGTTTTCTTTATTGTTCTGTCTTACAATAAATATTTATTAACATTTGTTCAGCATTTTAGAATAGTGTGATTGTTCAATACTTCAGAAGTGTACAAATGGATCATTAGCAATAAATATAAGCTGTAAATACAACTTTTGCTGCTAAACCAGTTTATTAACACAAGTGGTTGGCTGTAGAAAAAGGGAAAATAAAAGTAAACAGAACAAGGATATACTTCAATATAACTTTTCAGAACAAGTCTGTTATTAATCACATACCTTTGTTAATATCATGGTTCATTTACCTAAATAAAAATTTCTAAAAAATAAAGGTGAAATGAAAGTACAATGAAAAAGTAACTGATGAATGAAACTGTTTTAAAGACCCAAGAATCCGTCAATACAGAAACATACAACACTTGTAGAATGTAAGTAATAAAAACAAATAAGTTAAAGTATGAAAATATAAAGCTTACTATCAAACTATAAATCTATGAAACATAACAATGGTCTGGGTTATCTGGTTTTCTTAGTCTATATATGACGCCAATAACTCATGAAAAAAGCATATAATTTGGGATTAACTCTAGGCATAATTTTTGGATAAATAACGATTTTAGTTTATCATTAACTAATCCTTCAACTGTTTTAAATGTAACACACAACAATATTTCTACATATTTTGATTTTCTATTCTTTTATTTAGTTTTACTTACCAATAAGAGTTTAAGGGCAAGTTCCACATAACAATCAGGTAAGGAATGATCCAGGAATGGATATACACACTCCTCAAGAAACTGGTTAACTGATAAGATATCAGTCTGTCTCTAGAGAAATCAAAAACCTTTAATAATCCTTGGGACTTATGAAAGCTCTGTGAACAAAATCAACATGTGAACTATCAATATGTGTCCTAAATTTTAAATTCTTAGAATTAAAATAAATTTCTAACAGGTACTTATCTCTGAAACACAGTTTGTTTCTTCTTGTTGTGTAGAACTTCCTCTGTCAACATCATGTGACCTAAAATTCTGAATGTTCTTGATGCAGTGTAGTACTTACATCATATCTACCCATAGTTCTCTACTCTCCCACCTTGCACATGTGTTAGGGGACTACTTTAGCTCTACCTTCCTGTCCAAAGCCACATTTTTTTGTTGTCATGATGTAAAGCCACAAATCTCATGGTTGTGGGAAGTTGGACTGGAATACGTTCAGAAGTATGTATCTATTTAAAATTCATTTTAATTCTAAAATATGTGAAATTAAAACCAGGCAAACTTACCTGTGAAACACACTTTGCCTGATTACTCACAATGACAATGAGGAAAGAACCATAAAAGTGACAAGCAGTGGAGTCTAGAGTTGGGCAATTGGTGGTATTTGCTATTTGATTATGCGATGGCTCCACTGATCAATTAATACAGTGTTTCTTAGCATACATAAAATAAATAATTTGGTAGCTAGTGCTGCCTGACAGTTGCTTTCCTTTTAATCAGCAGTTCAAGCAGAAAAAATAAGGGTGAAAAAATAGTTTTGGGTGCTGACACACAGTTGCCTTCCTTCTAGTCAGTAGTTCAAAATAGGTGACATTGGTAGATAGCCTCAGTAGCTTTGACATAACAAAGAAAGGGTGAGCAAGCCTGATGAAAATTGGAATTGAACCAAAGATCCTCAAACCACTAGTTCCCATGAATCACCAAATCTGAATAAACTTAAAGTAGCAGAGGATATATTCCCCATTATGTAACTTTGTACTTAATAACAAACAAAGATAATATTAATATTCCAATTACTTGGACAGTTAGAATCATCCAAAATAGTAATAATTAGAAACCCCAATTTCAACTAGCTGATTGTTTTAATTGTAATTTCAACTACTCAACTGTTGGAATAAGTAAAAACAATAATAATCAGGAGTATTAATTTTCATTAATCAATTTCAATTTTTGGAATAAATAAAAACAGTAATAATCAGAAATACTAATTTTGATTAATTGATTTAATCATAACTAATTTTCACAGTCACTACTTACAGGTAATTGATTAAATTGCTCAGATCTACAGTATGGACTAAAGCACTTCACCAATACCAAGTGATGCTAGTGGAATCGAACATGAGAAATAAAAAGCAGAATAAGGCCAAACTATATAAGAAGGGCTAAATCTAAATCTGAGAAAAAGAGAAGAGATAGAGGAGCAGGCATATTTTAAGAGTATATGATAATTAGCAATGAGTGATCTGTTGCTTTATAAGGACATTCAGAAGAACCGTTCTTTCCAGCAGAATATCTAATTACCCAAGAATCTAGTACCTGTCCTACTAGACAAGACAATAGGGGTGGTGGTATGATGGAGGGGATTGCTGGGACTGAAGTTACCACAGAATGTGCCTTAGCTTACCCTGTACCCAATGCTTAGTAGTCAAGTTGGTTCACTTCTTAAAAACTACAGTAGGTGTACCTCCAAGATGCAGTATGTAGCCTCTCAATTTCTTTTGTCAAGATCTCCTCACTGAGAAAAGACCAGCATTTCCCCTAATGGGCAAAATATTAGTCACCAAATGGAGCTGGATGATTAATTCAATTAATCAGTTTCTTATGAGCATCAATTACATTTATTAATGTCACAAAAATAATCAACAAATCAAAATTTGTGTTTCCCATCATTATTGTTTTTGATTATTCCAAATATCTTGGGAATTTAAATACTGTCATTATGATTCTTAATTATTATTTTTAATTAATTAAAGTTTGTTCAACTTAATTTATTAACGTCATGACTCAAGAAAATAATCAACTAAAATTTCTAAAGTTTCTTATTATTACTATTTTTGAAGATTCCATTATACAATTAATTGAAATATTACCATTATACAATTAATTGAAATATTACCATTATACAATTAATTGAAATATTACCATTATACAATTAATTGAAATATTACCATTATGATTTTTTATTAATTCAAGTTTGTTCAGCTTTGGACTGGCATGACCTAGTGACTCTATTTGACTCCTATTAATTGCCACCAAAAATGCTTGGACTTTCAACTCTGAAGGCATTATATTTGATTTTAAAATCACAGCAAAGCTAGTAAGGCTATTCACCACTGTCCCTAATTCAAAACTACTGACAAGATGCATCTGTTGCCAATTCTTGGGCTAATCTTTACCAATGAATAGTGGGACTTACCCCTATTTTTGGCCATGACATTATACAACTGAAACAAAGAGCATGTTTAGTGGCACTGGCTATCACATTAGTGAACCTTATTTCACAAGGCATCCACTCTAACCACCAGTCTAGCTGACCTTGGGGGAGTATATTGCTTATTTATTACATGCTGTAAATGTAAACAGTGTTAAATTACTTAGGGCATGCATGCACTGAAGGAGTGAGCTTAGGGATGGGGTCCAGCCCTCCTGTTAGCTATTTTGGTATCTGAATATACAACACAATTCTATCTTTTTAGTTTTTTGTATTTTGAATTTATTCTTGTTTCTATAAATATATGCAGATTCCACATAGCAATGGTCAAGAAAGCTGTCAAGTTCATCTTGTTCTAAGTTACATTTGTATCTAGAGGTTATGGCTTCATCTATACTGAAATGAGAATGACCAGTCACAGGGTTAGTGATTGTCACACTGGATAATGCAAAGTTCCTTGCATGCTAAGAAACATTAAATTTAGTCAGTGGAGCTATAATTATCATCTTGAGATGGTCTAGTCAGGACAAGAGAAAGAGTTAACCAGTGAAAGAGCAACAGCCTGTCATGCTTATTCAAGCAAATACACACTGTGTTTGTGCTCAACAAACACACACTGTGTTTGTGTTCAATAAAGATTGCTCATTTTGTACTACACTTTGTATCCAGCCTAATTATTTCATTTTACATCAAACCAGTTATTAGAAGATCAAGGATTACTTTCTAATTGATATCTTGAGCAAATCTCCTGTTATCTAGTGGACCTATCCTACATAACATTAATGTCAATGCAGCTTCATCTGAATATAATTTTAAAATTTATGGAAAAAGTATGGACTAGGAAAAACCATTTTTAGATAGTTGAATACTTATCTCTAATCTAAGGTACTTTAAACAATGAGAAATAGATTACTGTTATTTGCTCAGTAACTATTACAATACACATGAAAGATACAGACAGCTTTTTTTCAATCTTTCAACTGCAAATTTTCTTTGTTTGGTGTAAAAATACAACCAACATATATAAACAGTGATATTGTCATATCTAATATTAGACTTATCATTTTGTATATTGCTATATCTATATGTAGAGCTCAATTAATTTTAGTGTCAGTAAATTATTCATACTTGCTTTTTATATTAAGGGTCTAATATTATTTAAAAGAAAAAAATCCTATTCTTTTTTCTTGTCACAAATTTAGAGGCTTTCTGCTAGTAATAATTAACTTATTCAAAATACAATAACAGTAATTCTTACCTAATGATGATTCAATACTGTGGGTCAAAATGTTGTAATTATTAAAATAAGAATACGCCTACTGCAAAAGTTGCTGTTATTGTATTCTGAATTAATTATTCAGTTCAGTAGTTTCCTCACTAAACATTAGTTATTAATTCATTATGAAAATAATTTTAGACCTGGAATTTCTCACCAAAAAAAAAATTAAGTGCCCAGATTTTTAAAAATAGTACTAAATAATCTAAACACTTAACATACTTAAGCATAAATAGAATGATAGTTTTATATGTAATAAACAAAATTGGAATATTATTACAATCTAACACGGGATGCAGCTATACAAGTTTCTTAATATAGCATTTAAATGTCTAGCTCTAAATTTCCTAATCCAATTCCCAACAACACCCTTAAATTATAGAATATGAAAAGTGTTGCACTTTGACCTACCCACAGTGAAAGAGCTAAACTATAAGAATCAACTTACAGTTAATTAGTTAAAGTAGAAGGGGCTAAGTTCAAAGATCATGTCTCATGATAAGGTATAAATAACCTATGTCTAGACCCTCAAAAGGATTATGGTAAGCAGGGTAACATTTGCTGACTTGAACAGGATGAAGAAAATGTTCACCATAAAGAAAATCAAAATTCAAAAGGACAGGTAAAATAATAGAAGGAAAACAATCAATACCCTAAGATGAAACCCAAGTTTTAGGCAAAAATACTCCAATGAGATATAAACAGAAGAATCTACTGGAAAGCAAGGTGTGAGATGAATCAAAAGTATAAGATCAAACATCTCATGCCTGATGCAAGTAACAGAAGAAAATAGGCCTTGATCTACAGATGATAAAGTGAACAAGTCATTAAAGGCTCAATTGGTGTTGAAGCTAAACAAGACCCAAATCTCAAGTTTGGCAACACAGAATCATGTGAAAACATTGTAACTGAAATGCCTGAAAAAAGCTGTAAAAAAACAATACACACAGCATCCAAAGGTGGCCAATAATGCATATCTGTATCCAGAAAGGCCTTTCTCATGAAAAGAGATACATGAAAAAGGATACCACATTTTAAGGAATGGGAGGAAGAAAGCAAAGTTTTGAAGACACCTGTTACAAGTAATATCCCAACAAGAATTGGTACACTGCAAGGGATGAAAGGCAGTGCAGCAATACCTTGCAAAAATATGAGAAACACAAGATGAATATGCTATATGTTTGCAAAGGACCATACAACAGCAACTGTGAATATGTAGACTTTAAACCTCTGAGTAAAAGATGAAGGTTTAAGGTTGATGATGAAGGGTGAACAAACAAGGAAGAGGATCTTCCCAAGAGAAAAGGCATAAAAGAGGAAACCATGATTGTGCTAACTTGAAGTTATGAGAAGAATTCAGCAATATGTAGAAGACATCTTGGAAAGAACAAGAGGAAGAAGGCACAGAGAAGAGTAGGCATAAAGGATTAAATCCTTCCAACTCTGACTTAAGGAGGATATGGAAAGAGAATTAAAAATGAGGAAGAGAATAACTGTCTGAAGTGGCAAAAACATTGATCATGATTATCACACATTCAAGAAAAAAACAGAAGGGAAAAGCCAATGCAGTAAAAGCTTGACAACTCCTTGAGAGGGAATCCATCAGATCTGACACACATAAAGATGAACATTATGAGAGTGAAACCACAGTAACCAGGAAACACCCATTTGACACAGACTGTGAGAACAAATGCCCCCCCCCCTTAACAATTCTTTATAGAGTAACAGTTATATGTGGTGGAGACACAGTATCAAGTGATGACACACCTAATGGACAACCCATAGCTTGAGAAGGTTTATATGAGATATTGCAACAACAAGGGGTCCCATTGCTGGAAATGAATTGACACCCTAATCCAACATATGCATCTGTGAAGAGATTAAGATCCATCAATGGTGGGCGAAAAGGATACCCTCCAGTGATCAGTTTCCAATTCAACCAGAAATGGAAGGAAGCAAGTGTGCCACAGCTATTTTTCCACTGAGACATCAAATCATATTCAAGAGAACATGCAGAAATAGGGAAGCCACAGTCTCCAAAGAAGAGAGTGTCTTTAGCTGTAGATATGACAAATATAAGCTTATATACTCACAGCTCTAAAGCTTGAAAAGCCAAAAGAAAAGGTTGAAAAATCCCAGATGAAACCAATATAATTAAGAATCTACTCAGACTTGAAAGTGTGGATAATCTACCTAAAAGATGTAGCCAACTGTGTGGTGAGCTAATTGCATGCCTAAGGTTGTACATTCATAAAATTAGTATGAGCCAGTCATTCATGAAACAGAGGAAACCTTATGCAGAATGAATGTGAGAGACTTGCAAAGACTCTGAACACTTGTCCATATGTGTATGGAGCAGAGGCGAGACAAAAAGGAGGGGCTTGAAATATTTTTACCACTTCGAAATGGAAAAATCTCAGAAATCAACAAGATGATTGGTATATGGGATGTGTAGCTAATCACCCTGCAAATCTACTTTGGCCATCCACTGGATTCATCAGTGAAACTTCCATAGCAATTTCATGTTCTCCATTTTGAAATGATATACATGATATTGATTGAGTAGGAAAATATCTATTACACACCTCTAATCCCTGCTCTTTTTTGGAACAACAAAAAGATAAGAGTAAAAATCTGGAGACTGAGAGTAGAAGAGTGCATGATTTCTATTGCACCTTTGAGAAGAAGATCTGAAACATTTTGATCCAGAAGTTGCTGACAAACTGGATCCTGTGGACATGAAAAAGGAATAAGAAGGGTGGAGAGAGGAGAAAAACTATAATAATGAAGAAAATGTTGAACTGAAGAATCTGTTGAACCCAAGAGACCCACAAAAGTACTGAGATGACCTCAGTGGTCTGGATGCCAGATGGGTCACTAAATGTAATAAGGCAATGAGAGGGTTGGAGGTGGTTCAAGAAGTAGAAAAGGCTGATGGAATAAAAGAGCAACAAGACCCAAATTGACAATGGGAAGATGAACTACTCAAAGATAAAGAATGAGATATCAATGCCCAAATCAACTCCTGCTAAATTACCTCTCCTGTATATGAAACTAATCTGTTAGAAATACCTGCAAAGAGAAACTTGCAGGAAGGAAGCAGGTTTAAGTCCAGCTACAATATTATCAGAGATTAATATGTCATAAAATGGCAGTACAAGTGATTTTATCAAAAGAGCAGAGCATCCAAGACAACAAAATAACTAAGTCAGTAAGGACAGATGACAAAGAAAACAGCAAACATGCAGAAAAGCTCTGGAGAAAAACAATCAGGAGACCAGAATAGCTTATACCTAAAAGCTACCAGTCTCAAAACAAGACTCATAATCTATCAAAATAAGGAAAAATGTCAAGAAGTCAAAGAAATTTATGTAGCAATAACCCACACCCCTCAAATAAAAAATTTCAGTTTTAAGTGACTGTGAAGTCAAATGATTCAAATGAGAACCCTGCCAAAATATCTGCAGCATGAGAAATAAAATGAATATGGAGAAAATGAATGCTAGGTTGATTTCTGGAAGAATCAGTATTAATTCTAGTATCAGGGGAAGGTAGGAAAAATATTGTAATACAGAATCATCTAACACAAGACAAGTCCCTCAGGTTTTACAGAAATAGGCTCAATATTTAAATTAGCACATACCTAAATTTTAAGCTGAATCAAGTCAGTAAAAATGTTATAAAGAAAGAGGGTCAGTTGATAAGTCCTGTTCTTCAGAAACAAAAGCAGAAGAAGCCTGGGCAAAGGATCAGGCTTTTAAACAACACGCAAGTAAGGACAATCTTCTGTGATATTGGCATCAACCTCAATGTGAAATCCTACAGAAATAACCATAGGTGATTCAGCATGCATGACCTGAATAAGTTGATCAATCAGGGCAATTAAAGCAGCCACGAAATCCCCTTATACACCCATATTCAAATGGAGAAATGTGTCCTCATCTGAGGGATAAAAACTCCCAAATTAGCAGAAATGTAAACATTAGGGTTAATAGTAGTTTCAATTCATACTAAACAGAACTAATTATGCGAAAAGAAAGACAGTCACCATTAAATTTTGGCTTTAGGTGGGAAGTAGGGGGAAAGTAGAACTATGAGTAGGTATTACTGTATCAAGGACGTTCAGAATTTTAGATAACACGATGTTGATAGAGTGAGTTATACCCAACAAGAAGAGGTGAACTGTGTCTCAGTGGTAAATCTGCCTGTTTTGAACATTATATTAATGTCTGAACCAATTTATACACTTAGCATACCAAATATACAAAAACATTTATATTCAAATGACTATATTCATAAGCATGTTAGCTGAAAGAATAACAACAGTATTTGGAAAAAGAACAAACCATTCCAAGTTATGTATGTACAATGAAGAATGATGTGTTTATGAAAAGTGTAACGTAAGCAAGCAAAAGTTTCACCTGTAACAGTGTATGAACAAAAGTAATAATGTTCTGTTCCAGAGATGTTATAGACAGATCAGCATTGATAATGACGTCTTTCAAGATTTCAATCAAACATTCACATGAAGAGGCAGAACCGTTGTAATGACAGACTCCTGGTATTGCTTCCAACATCTTAAAAATTATAATAAACTCATTAATTTGTGTATTACAAAAATATCATTTACAGATGCTATAATGTTTAAGAACATGCAATTTTGGCTAGGAATATATGTTATTTAAATCGTTTGAATAAAAAGTGTTTCAGAACAATTTTTACAACAGAATTTTACTGACAATATCACTTTTCATATAATTTCTTGATGAAAAGTTACATTAGATCCCAAAATTACCAAATGTGAAATGTTTTTTGAAGCTTGCAATTACAAGTATTATATTTTCAATAAACCACCATTATTTCAGTTACACTGAGGGAGGTAAGAAAAAAAACAGGCTCAGTAATGTAATATTTTCTGTATAACTATTAATATTACTTGGTGGTGTACACAAATCAAATATTCTACAATTGAAGCTAAAAAACTAAGCATTCACTGTAAAACAATGTCAGGTACCTCATACAAATACGTTCACCTGAGCAATGTAAACTACCTGTTGCTTTCTATTGATCCACCTTATATTGGGACACATTAATAAGAATCTCATGAAGGGTTAAAACTTCTAAATATAGTTATGTTATGGATGGAAAATTAGTTAACATAACAGCCTTATAATCTACTAATTAACATTAACAAAAATTTAGTACTTAAAAGACTTAAATAGTAGCATTTACAGAAACAACCTTATGCATACAGAAAATTATAGCCATCCACAGAGAAAAAATATATGTAATACTTACCTCTATTAATGCTGGTATTTGTCCTGAGTTTTCAACAGCCTGTGTTGTAATTTTTTTAACAACTTCTCGAGGACACTGAAGGCACAAAGGTAAAAGCTGACCAAAAACCTATCAGAAAAAGGTTCATGGTTTTATGGAAAATATAAAGTTATAATCACTGATGATGATGTGAAAGAGAATGTAGTGAAAAGACTGTTATATATAAAATATTGAAAGTGGCAAAAATAACACAAAGCAGAAGGTGAATGATTCTTGAACATAATAGTAACTTAGTACATGTTTCAAATAAAATAATATACAAGAAATAGTGCTCAAAACTATAATAGTTTTTCAGCTGTTTATAGGAATGAATTTGTTAATAAAACTTTCACTGAAACTGCTGAACTCTGAGCATTTTGTTTTAGTACCTTTTTAAGGGATAAAGCAGGCAGTTATTTTTGTATGCCTGTACAGTATAGTGCTAAATTCCAAACATCACAGAAGGATGACCAATATTCAAACACTTGCAATGTTTAATGGATCGGCTCCAAACTACATACTGTTATAAACATTTTCACAAATTCAAAGTGTAAACTTATTACTCTGGGGAATTCTCATTGTAAACACTGTAGGGTACATAAGCTGATAAATTCCACATTGTGTTCTCAGAGCAGGGGTCAAGTTAGCTTATTTCTGTGTGTGTGCTTTGTTGCTCTCAAGATTATCATATTGTGGTGTCATGTAAACATTCTAATGACACAAGCTGTGATTGGTTGCTTTATTTTCATTGACAGTAAAATAAACACAGAAAATTAATGTGAGATGTTTAACAGTTCAAAATCTGAAGAGAAGTACTTTGATACTTTGTGGCCAATAATAAAGAAAAAAAGACAGCTAATTCACCTCCTGAAACCTCCTTTTGACAATGCTCCATTTCATGGCAAGGTAGAACTCAAAAACACCCATGTCCTACATACACCAAACAAAATAGGGGACATTAAAATATAGAAATTTAGTACGGTGAATATAGAATCCAGCTTTGCATGGCTTATTTTTGATATTAAGGACACCTTGTTATAGGGAGCATTTGGCTGCAAATGAAAGGGTGCCCTTAAAGTTGAGATTTTCCACTGTATTATATTTACACAATTTTTCACACCCAATGAATCCTGTTAAAAACCCTGAAAGAATGAGAAGTACAATGAAAGAAACAATAATAACAAATAACACAAGAAAAAGTAAAGTTAGTTTTGTTTTCACAACTATAGAGTATCTTTGCATTTCTTTACACTTGCAAACTGTGAGTGTATTCAGCACTTTTCTCACATTTTTCAGAATACTGGTGCATTCTCTGAAACCTTTGAGATATCTACATAAAAACACCGATAGCTGGTTTCAGTTTGACTGCCAATTTACCCACCATAACACCTGTGCAGCTATAATAAAGTAAAGAATTATCAAAGTCTAACTGAGTTATCATTGTTTTCAAATTGACAACAAGTAATGCTAAACATGACTTTATCACATACTTTCAATACATGGATTATTTGTGGAAATTCATGTTGACCTTAAATATCATACAAGTATATTGAAGAAACTCGACGATTTCAGTGAGTTAGTGATCTTATCTCACTAACCCAAAGATATTGCTCAAGATCACTCACAGTGAGAAAGATTACATACAACTAGTCATTAATTCATACATTAGGGGTGGCTTATTTTGAAATAGTGGTTGGCTAGCATACAGTGTAAGGAGATACTTGTCCTCTAGGGGAACAAACAAGTTCATTCTGTAGCACATACACTGAATATTTATATTTACTACTTCAGTGTATTTTATAGAAATTGGAGGATACTTCAAAATATGCTGTTCATATTTGTGTGTTTTACTGAGAAATGGAGCAACACAAATATAATTTGTTAACTATTCATCAATAATGAATTTTCCAAAGTTTATTTATTTTCCAATGACCCCTTGCAGGGTATAAAAGTACATTACTGTTTCTTTCTGTATTTTTGTAACTGAACATTTCACTTAAGAGCATTTGATCTCTGTTTTCTTCTTGCCATTTGATGTTTTTGAAAATACTGCCATAAAAATGCAAGCAATATGATGTGTTACATACTGATCTTGATTCGAAGTGCATTTGGAAGGTATCATATACTGTATACAAGGATAGCAAAGCTGGTATGTTTTCGTCCCCCAGTGTCGTCTTTCCCCAGCCTTTTGTGGGACATCAACATTCTAGAATGCTTCAGAAAGAACACTGTACCATCAAAGCAGGTGTAGTGGTTCCTGACTTACACAAGGACCCATATACAAGGTTTTGGTCTTTTAATCTTCTTGTTGAAACAATCACTGACAATATTGACTTTATTTGTAACAAGTGTTGCTTTCAATCTTTACTATCAGTCTATCATATTTTTAACAAGATATTTTTTACTTTTCCAAATTCCCAATTACAGGCCTATTATATTTTCAAGTTGTGTTAGGTGACTGGAAAACAGAGTTTGCTAAAGTTATAAACGAATGTGTTTTTTATAACTACAATATATTTGGAATACTAATATATCACTATTATTTTATAGTGCATTCCTGATTAATGTTGTAAACATAGCTCATATATCATGTTTTAAAATACATTACTAAACATTATTTTGCATTATAGAAGTTCAGTTATGTAATTAGTCAAATGTACTGAAAATACTTGAGTGAAAATCTGTATAGAAATAAGGTGGAGTTGACCTTGAGAACAAGAATCTTCTGAATGTAATTGTGTAGTGAAAATGTTAAGGAAGTGTAGTGATATTTTCCTTAGCCTTCAATTAATTTTGATGTTGCTACCACATATAATGACATAAATCTTCAATTAATAAAGAATAGGATCATATGGTAGTGTACAAAATATATGTTGAAAAGTTGCAGAACATGATTTTATACATTGATGAAAATATTAGAAGCTTAAATTCTCATTTATGTTACAATTATAGCCATTTTCTACAATTGTACATTTCATAAAACGTCTAATAATAGCAAGTAGTTTCACCATTATGACTTATATTTGTATTTATTGTAGTATAGGTTAACCAAGAAGAACATTGAAGCACAATAACAACATAAACATATATATACAGACAACAAATTAGCTGCATGTTAATTGATACTGTTATCTTAGGTGCACTAAGAAACATGATTTTTTATCACACCGCAATATTTGTTGTTTTGTAATGACTTCCTTTTTTATCATTAGTCAAATATATATTTTTTTCTACCTGAAAAAATGTAGCAGCAATGCAACAGTAAATTTCTCTATATTTAATATGTTGAAAGACTGGGAAACTTTTGGGAAAAATGTACACATTCTTTTTTATTTCAGTTCAACAAGTATTTTTTTTCTGAAATAAACATCTTCAGTTTTTGATTTGATTCAGTTGTATTTACTAACAAAACATGTCAGTGCTATCTAGTGAGTTAAAAAGCAAACAAATCTAATAATTACCATAACAAGTTGATCATGTAATATCTGCCATCTAATGACAATTTTTAAAATTATATTCACAATGTTAACAGTTTATAATATGATAAATATTACAATTTCCACGATTTCTATCGAATTTATAAGGATTATTGACAGTTATCTATCTGTAATGAAACACCATTATCAGATCTATGATTCTTATATAGAATTTTTACATAAACATCAGTTCATTTACCAATAAAGTATTGTATTCCAACAAAAATTAATTTAAGACAAGAAACTTTGCAAAATGAAATATAAAAATTTGGCAATATATTGTTGCGTCATCGAGATCATGTGATTCTCACGCTCTCTACTTTCTAGAATTATCCTGTACTTTGGCGAATGTTCTAGTTCTTACTAGATATAGGGTAGTCGGGTATATAAAAGAGGGGGACAACGTGACAAGGTAATGTAATGTGTGAGTAGATAGTGAGTAATTGAACTGCAGTCACAGGGTACT